CCCTTGGACTACGCTAAGCGGCTGGGACGGCGCACCCGCTCCGCTGCGACGCCCAGGCACACGCCCAGACCCGCTGCCGTCTTGCGCTTTGTCTCACGAACAGAGCGGCAGGCGGCCAACGTTGCGCTATTTTGGCGGGTGCCTGACCTTTGAGGGGCGAGCGGCCCGCCGGCCGGCACCGCGGCACAGCAGGCATCGGCCGCCGGCGGTGCGAGATTGCGGTTTGGCGCTAAAGGAGAGGCACGAAAGTGGAGGCGCCGCGCCGCCGACCAGCGCGCGAGATGTCGTGCTTCGGCCGCCGGCGGCATTCGGGCGTCGCGAGAAAGTGAGGGAAGGCTCCGTCACTTTGCTCCTGGGCCCCTCGGGCCCCTCATCGTGCTGGACGAGGAGTATAAGGAGAGGCACTTTGCTCAGGTGCCTGGCCGCGGGGGGCTGAAGCCGGTGACGCCGAGCCGCCGCCGATTGGCAGCCGCACTTGGCGGCGCCATAGCATGCGCCGCGTGGGAAAAGGAGCTTGAGCAGGCGGCGCGCGAATATGCTCTCTCCACGCCTAACCCACCCTGCTCACAACACTAGACTCAAGGAACTGCATATGCAAATCCGCAAGGACGGATCGCGGATCGCTGCTCGCTGCGTGCTGGGATGCTGCTTGCTGCTGCTGCGATCGGCGGGCAACATGAAGGAGACAGGCGCTGGGGTGCGGGGGCGCGCGGCACGCCGCGGCGACTTCTCTTGCGGCGCGGCGCCCTTCTTCTTTGGCTGCTGCTGGTCCGTGCAGACTCACGCGTCAAAGACACCGACGGATGAGCGACTCGAAGACATGGTGCGCTTGGGGCCACTCGAGGGCGCACCTCTCTTCCTCACCATCACCACCACCACCACCGTCTCCTCATTCCCACCTCCGAGGGGCAGCCCGTACGATGTCTCCCGGTCCCGGTCCCAGCAATGCCTCTCTCGCCGCTCTGCCCTCCTCCTTCGGCCTCGACGCCTGGTGGAAGCGCGCCGTCGTCTTCCAAGTGTGGCCCGCCAGCTTTGCCGACTCCAACGGCGACGGCATTGGCGATGTGCGCGGCATCATTGACAAGCTGGATTACCTCAAGGAGCTGGGCGTCGATGTGGTGTGGAGCAGTCCGCTGTATGAAAGTCCGGATAGGGACATGGGTACGTCCGAGGCCGAGCGGTGGGAGGGGCACGGCGGGCAAGAGCGAGACTGATGTAGCAAGGGCGCAACCCAGGATATGACGTGGCCGACTACAAGAAGATTGCGCCGCGCTACGGCACGCTGCAAGACGTCGACGAGCTGATTGCACAGCTCAAGAAGAGAGACATGAAGTGTGAGTCTCTGTTTTTTTTTTTTTTGCTTGGCCTTGGTTTTACGAGCACGCGCCGAAGAGTAGGCGAGGCGGACACAGAAAGAAGGCTGATTGCAGCACACGCAATGGAATAGTTATGATGGACCTCGTCGTCAACCATGTAAGTTTGCACGAGCACGCACTACCCGCTTGCCGAGCGAGACAACAGGAGATCGCTAAACTGGAGCATGATGCGACTCCCGCGCGCGAATGACACAGACGTCGGATCAGCATGCTTGGTTTCAAGAGGTGCGTGTGTGTGTGTGTGTTCCTCGCCTCTCTCTCTCACTACACGGGCCTCGCGGGCACCGCGCGGGCAAAAGAAAAAGGCCGTTGCTTTGTGCAAGGCGCTGACACATGAGTTGCATCCCCCGCCCCCCGGGCAGTCGAAGGCCTCAAAGACGTCGGCAAAGCGAGAGTGGTACATTTGGCGCAAGGGCAAGGTGTCGGAGACGGGGGAGAAGTTGCCTCCTAGTGAGTTACACCCCTCCCCCCCCCC